ATGAGAAAAAGGGGGGGGGGGGTGCCAAAGAGTGACTAAAGTCCATGTGAAATCAAAATTGACACTATGTACTTTGCGTCCATTGACAGTCTTGTGGTGAACAATTAATCCACTGAGAAAAAATTATTTGAAAAATTAAAAAAAAATTGCTTCCACTCTGGAATGGAGTTCATTCTCTGATTATTTCCGTTTGATGGCATGGGCAGAATATTTTTAAACAATCCCTCCAACAGGTAGTTTTATACGAGTGAGAGATGGAGAGAAAGTGTGCTAAAATAAAACCCCCCTCTATTTAATATTTCATTCCAACTTCCAGATCATGCTGACTTTAAATAAAGAACCTGAGCCATATCTAAACCTGAAATATCACAGGGAATTGAAGGTGGGCTCTTATTACCAATGCACTAAAACACCCTTAAAGGGGTCATATGATGCTGCTAAAAAGAACATTATTTGGTGTAATGAAATATGTTTATGCGGTTTAAGGTTCAAAAAACACATTATTTTCCACATACTGTACATTGTTTCTCCTCTATGCCCCGCCTTTCTGAAACACGTCGATTTTTACAAAGCTCATCGTTCTAAAAAAGCGAGGTGTGCTGTGATTGGCCAGCTATCCAGTGCGTTGTGATTGGCCGAATACTTCAAGCGCGAGACGGAAATGTTACGCCCCTACCATATTGTGATGCCCTGTCAGGCCGGAGCGATGATTCAAACGCATGAAAACTCATTACAAACGAGGCATTCGTTGCATCCAGTGGGGACATAATTAACTGTCTTTTTACGCTTTGCGCGCCACGTAAACATAAAACCATGTCTGCATTTGTGATTGGAGAAGCTACTCTACACTGCTCATATGCACCAAGAGCTTGTAACACTCCAAAGAGAAAGGAAAAATTGAAATCACATCATATGACCCCTTTAAGAGCTGAGGCAGTGAGTTTCACATGGGCAAGCAAGCACCATTCATATTTCTTTTAGAAAATTTAAAAGTCTAGTCTATGCATAGGCGTAATTTGCAGGTGGGACGGGTGGGACATGTCCCCACCACTTTTTGCCAGGGTCGATATTGTCCCTACCACTTTTTGAAT